TAGCCTTTGAAGAAATTGCTAAAGCCTGAAGATTATGCTTATTAACACAAAGACTGTCAATCATAATTATAGTAGATCCAAATCTTGTCTTAGCTGGTAATTTTAAGGTAATAAATACTCTACGTTCATCTTGAGATTGAATTTCTTTGAAAATCGCTGACATTATTTGTACTTCTTTTATTCCTTTTACAATAGCTGTTGCACTTGTCACCAAAGTTTCAACAGTTGCTTGACTACCAATATCTTTCATGAGTAGGTTAAGAATGTGAGCAGCACAACCATAACAATACAATTTGTCGACATTATACTTTTGATCTATCAAAGTCCAAGCACTTTTCATTGCAGCACAATTATCTGTACAAATTCCGATAACTTTTTTAATTCCCAAAGCATCAATAACACTTCCTATTTTTTCAGAAATATATAAGGCAGTTTGTGATTCGGTTCCAGTTGGAAATGTTTTGAAAAAAACTGGCGCTGGGGTTGTTACAATAAAATTGATGATTCCTTCTTTGCGAATATTAGACCATGCGTCACATTGCACTCCAACAGTAGTAGCAGATTCAATTTTTTCATTAACCATATTTTGTGTTCTAACGAATACTGAATCTAAAAGATTATTTGATATTTGATTTCTTGATGGCAAATTAAATGAAGGCCGTAATGCGTTAAAAAATTTTAGCCAATATGGATTTTCTGTTATACATAATGGTGTACCAGATGCATAAATCGCTTCTGCAAGTAGTTCTTGTAGAGAATCTTCATCTTTTTTTGACATTTTATCACAAAAACTATCGATTGTATTTTTTTTATAGTTATTGCTACAAACACTTATATTATTTGGTAAATTTTCATTTGAAATCATTGAAGTACTTGCTCTATTGTCTGCTTCATTCAAATCTTCAATAGTAAATGAGTCGTCTGTGCTGTTTAGATGAGAATTATTTCGTTTACGAGGTTTACATGGTTTTAAAAGTTTCCGTAAGTCTTGAGGACAACTTCTACACTCTTTATAAAGATGTTTTCGCATGCGAGTAATGTTTTCTGCATACTTTTTCTTGCAATAGTTACATGAATACGATTTTAATTTTTGGTTAGGTTGCAGAGGTAATGCAGAGAAATGTTTATATATTGATTTGTTCTCCCCCATTGCACCAAGTTCTCAATGAAAATCCTTATCTACAAATTGAATATTCTTATATTAAATATTATCAGTATTTTTAATAAACAAATAAAAATGAAAATATATACCTGATAGACAAATAAACAGTTGTATGCCGTTGGGAATTCTAAACTGTGATTGGACATGTATTAACCAATCAGAGATCAGCATTTTTCTGACCGGTATGGTAAAACAGGCTTGGTCATTGACGCGTTTTTTACCGGTAATTTACGGTAAATTTACCCGTCAATTACCGATTCACATCTCTATCCAGAACTGATGGTGCCCTGCATTTTGGTGAGTAATTTGTGTATGAGTGTGTACGGGTAATATATGTATGTGATGTAAACATAGTGTATCGCTTTACAATGCCTTATACTTTGATGACTATTGCAGTTAGAATAAATAAAAATGATGATACTCATTTAACATTAATTAATATAATATCTGCAAATGACTTTAAATACATATATTCATCCATTATTATCATTTTTATTAGGTATAAATGTTAATAAAGAAGCTCAATTCCGAGTCGGCGTATCCAAGCATGTAGTGTAAAAACAAATGCACATAAACACAATACCGAGATTATGCTGGCCATGTGGTTAGAGCGTCAGAGGTCTATTTTGCCGGGCAGGATTCGATCCCAGTCATAATCACTATTTTTTCTACTTTATTCGTTAGATTAGCATGTATTTATAATATTGACATGCCATAATTAATCCATTATAACGATTTGATTTTTTTTCCTCTTTACTCATTGAATTTATTGACGCTAAGTCGGAAAATATTTGAACAGAGCCATAAACTTTTTTTTTGTATAAATACATTGATACTAGCCTGTGTTCAACAACTTATACATCTTTACATGTATTAACAATGTTATGTTATAAAAAAGTTATTAACAAGTTAATCATATTATTATTAACATTAAAAAGTAGTTTAAACAATCTGTGGCGAGTTTCGGCACTTTCCCGGCAAGCTCTACCCCCATTCTCTGTGCCCAAGCCTGCAGCTTATAATTTTTAAGCATATATAAGCGTATTGGAACCATAACAGCTCAGTGGTTACAGCATCGGTCTTTTATTTTGCTAGGCAGGGTTCGATTCCAGTCATGATAAAGTTTTTTTTTTCTCTTTTATTTGTTAGATTTGCATGTAATTATAATATTAACAAGCCAAAAGTAATTCTTACCAACGATTGGATTTTTTTTCTCGATTATTTATGTAATTGATCGACGCCGAGTCGGAAAATATATGAACAGGGTTATAAACACTTTTTTTACTATAGCTATATGAATGCAGTTTTTTTTAAGCAATTTAGAAATATTTAGAAGTAGTTGAAATAATCCACAGGGATTTCCGGCACTTTGCCGGCAAACTCTATCCCTACCCTTCGTACTCGAGCCTGCATTATACAATTTATAAACATAACCGTAATGTTGGAGATGATGTGTAAGCTCTGTGAGAAGAACACCAAGCTTTCATCTTACCGATTAGGGTTCGATCCCAGTCATAGCCAATTTTTTTTTTTCATTAAAATTTTATATAAATACAATAATTGGTTGCTTATATAAGTTCAAAATCAATTCCTATTGCCTTTTAAAGACAACATTTTCGAAAAAAGAGAATTCATAGTAACTTGTTCTTCACCCTCAGCTTATTTTCAGAAAAACAAGTTGTTTTCCGTAATTAATTGGAAGAATAATGTAATAAAATATATGAATTAATTTATAAGTATATAAAGTCACTTGAGCAAAAAAAAGAAAAAAAAATTGCTTATGACTGGGATCGAACCCTGCCCAGCAAAAAAAATGATTGGTGCTCTAACCACTGAGCTATTATAGTTCTAATTATGTAAACGATGCTTGAAAATTATAAGCTACAGGCTTGGGCACAGAAAGAGGGGGTCGAGTTTGCCGGCGAAGTATCGGAACTCGCCGCGGATTGTTTAAACAATTTTTTATTGTTAATAAGTTTTAAAAAAAGGCTATTATCAATGTATTTGTACAAAAAAAGAGTTTATGGCTCTGTTCAAATATTTTCTCATTTGTCATCGATTAATTGAAAAATAATTTTACATAAAAATTGAAATTTAAAACTCATTTTTGGAATGATAAAATTGCAATTACATGCAATTTAAAAGAAAAAAAAAATTTTGCCGCAATTGGAATCAAACACCGTTCGGTAAAATAACTGTCGAACCTTCTGACTATAGAGCTAGCATATTTTCATTTGCTTTGTTTACGTTTAGATATCGTAAGCTTCAGGCTTAGTAACAGAGGGTGGGGATGTGCTTGCTCGTCAACTGTTCGAACTCGCAGTCTTCTCTGAAAAATAAGACGGAGATAGATAGATATATACTGTGCTTTGTCTTGCTCGGAACAGATTATTCTGAAATTTGTAAATTTCTTGGTGCCCTAAGGCTCCCCTTTTGTAGTGCATCCCTGAAAATTATCATTTTTCGACCGATTTTATGGTTACCTACTCAATTTCAATTGATATCGAGCTTCGGCTTTTCGCCGCACAACGTGAAGGCGTAAAGTCAACTCCGGGAAACGGGTGCCATAGAAGGTCCCGAATGCAACAAATGCCTACGACTTGATTTTGTACTACGGTAAAATTTCCGAGATCTTAATATGTATATTTCAGGTTGTATATCAACAATTATTAACAGCATTCATTAATGATGAATGACAATAGAGTCAATTATTTTATTGAATAATATTATTATTTTATATTATATTAAATAAATAAATTGATGAATAAATAATGGTAATTTTTTGTAAATGTCACAATGTACTGACGCCAACGCCCTCTGTATTTCTGCAGTTGATAAAGAAGATTTTCTCTTGGCTCATATCATAAGTAAATATGTGTTCGAACATAAAATTCAAACAATAGAAAATAACTGAATTAAATTAAATAAAAAATTAGACTGAATTGTTTATATGCAGAAAAAATAGATTGTTAAATAAATAAATTAATCTGATTTAATTTCTAACTATGTAAAAAATGTTTTGGTTTTAATTGAGTAACTAAGTTATAATTTTCACAGGTATTAAGGACTCGCTCAATTTTTGAATCAATTTTCTAAATATACAAAGTCAATTAAAATGAAGTGAAGAAGTTTATTTATAGATTAATCTAACAGACTTACTGACACATCAATGCTAAGATCTATTGTTTTCAATTTATCAGCTTTATCTCGTATGTTATATCGATGATTAATACCAACTGGTGCATCTTTATTCTTTTTTTCTAACTCTGTTAAAACTAGAGCGAAATAATTGTTTTTTATAATTATCATTATTATGCATAGCAAAATTTAAATACTAATTAAAGAAGTATACGATGAGAAAATGTGAGCTTTTTTTGCAACCATGTTAGAATAGCTTCATTACTATTTCTACCTGAAGATCATCGTACGATAATTTATTTCCTTTTCAATTCAAGTGTGGAATGAACGATAATAATTTTTATCATAAATTTTTCTTTGAAGCATTATTTTTTATTATACCAAAGGGTATATCGATACACAATAATAAAAAAAAAATATTCATTCACTCACACGTTGATATTTATTTTATTAGAATTATTACCATGATGTTTTTTTTGAATTTTTTTTACTTATCTATATTTCTATATTTCTCTATATCTCTATTTTTTTCTACATATTTTTTTATATTTTTTTTTTACACTTAATTAAACATAGTATTTATCAAATATTTTTTCTAGAACAATTATTAATAATATTTAAAGTCAAACTGAGCTTCCTTTTTCTTTTTTTTTTAATAAAATCTTAAATTTAGTCAAACTTGGAACAAACCTCCATACTATGTCATGTTTTTTAAATATTCAACTTAGTTTAAAATCAAATTATGTAGAATTACTAGTCCAATGCTAGCAGTAACAGCGTTTAATGGGTTTGACTTACTTGAACATAGTATTTTTCGAATATACTTCTTAAAATAATTATTACTGAATCAAATTATTCTTAAACATTAGTTTTTTCCAAAACCACCCAAAAATCAAAATTAAAGATAAAAAATGTTTGCTTTATCAAAGATAAGAAATAAACTAAATAAAAATTGTATTTTTTAAATCGAATTCTTGGACAATCTTGGAGTTGGGTGGATTTAAAAACTCCAATTTATCATCTTGTTTATTTCTTGAAAACGCCCTTAGATCATAGCTTGCACACGCTAGAAATTGCGGTATTGTAAGCATGTCCAGCTCATATAAATTCCACAATTCCTTTACTCTCTCCTCATACATCATATTATTATTACGCATTGATCGTCTTATGCTGTGACCAAGTTTTAAACTTTGGTATTCTAAAAGTGCATTTTGTTGAAGTTGATTAATACGATCTACAATAAATAAACATTTCATTATTATCTATAAGTACATGAGGTAAAAAATAATCAAAAGAACGTCATTTACATGTGAATTCCCAGATAGATGGATGAATTCCTAATTCTTGAGTTATTACCCGATTGTAAGCTTCTGAGTAGTTATTCGTTCTAATATTCTTCTTAAATACACTAAAGACCTGTGGGTTTGTACGTCGTATCCATTGGTTTTGGTAGTACTTAATAAAACTTTGGAACTCTTGGTGATTTTGTATGACGTCAGGCATATTAATAGTTAGCCACTCAAAAGCATCTTGGATTTTCTCAGGAGGGAGTAAAGCGAGAGCTAAAAATTTTTTTATAATAATAAGTCCATTCTTCCATTGTAAAATAAATGTTAGTAATTTCATTTCCTTCAATTTATGTATCAGGGCCTGATGAAACAAATAATACAGTTAAAAAATTAAAATTGTATTGTATGTAATATAATTAATAGTAATTCATAAAATTATTAATCTTGTATGTATATTTACTCACTTGACTGTAATGAAAGAAACATCCAGTGTGATCAGCTTCAGGATAAATTTTCTTAATAGAAACAGCAAGGGCCACCTCAAAATCTGATATTATAATTTTAGGTTTTAATTGAGGTGCAAGAACAGTTTGCAAATGTTGTAAGATTTTAGTGTAAGCCAGGATGGTCTTTCTTTCCATTAAGACCCACAATATGGGAATTGTCTGCAAAACAGAAATATGGTAGAAAACAATATTAATCAAAATATTAAATGAAACTAAATAATTCTAAAACAACATATGAAATATATTAAAAACTTTTTTATAGTCATCTAAATCAAAAAAGTGTAATTTATGTATGTAAGTATACAACAATAATTAACTAACGATTATTGTCTGTTAATGATTATTCTTACGATAACTTAAGTAAATAAAAAAACGATTATAACTATTAGTATACTTACAGAATCATTCACCAGAGCTAAAATTGTGAATAATTGGTGAGATTTAGGTTTTTCTGGTACAACCGTGAAAGTCGCATCTATCAATAAGTGGGAAGTTTCAATCTGTCGAAGAAGTTGAGGGTTTCCGTACAAGGTTACATGCGACATATCTCCACATTGTAGAGTTGACACATACATTTTATTATCATCTTGATTATTAGTAAAAAATTTCCACTGGGGATCATTTAAAATGTCGATGTAATCTTGAAAAGAATCCGGTTTAGATGGTTGTACTTGCTTTTTCCAGTATTGCATTCTTGGTTGCATTTGAACCCATGTTTTGATAATAGCTGCTTGCGGGTATCTAAAAAGAAAATATAATTTTTAATGAATATTTTATTGTTATTTGCAATATATTAAATACTGATCAACAAGTAACTTGAAAATGAATAGAAGAAACTTACAATAAACTAATTTCCTCATAAATCGATTTTAGCGATTTGAATTTATCTTTCAAAATTTTCTGTCGTAAGGCTCTTTCAAAATCAAAAATTATTTTTGACATCGGATTCGCTTTATGGTTATGTTGGTTGAGACTGTAAAACTTGTTATTTTTTATTTTACCAGTACCCTTGCAATTTAAAGTTCGTTTTTTTACACAGACGACATATCTGTAAAAAAGAAATAAAATGGCATAGACTTCAATATTGATATCGACAAATGAACATGAAATAAGACTATAAATGAAAATAGATCAAGCAAAGGAATAATTTATCACTTACATTGTTGATTGATGTCTACGTGAAAATACGTATGAATATCCACCAAATATTTTTTTGCGTAATTGTTTACGAGCTGATACTTTAGATCCATGATTATACGATACACTATTGAACATGTCGAATATAAATAAAAAAACTAATTTCTATTCCAAAATTGTCCACAGTCACGGGGTTCTCTTGGCACTCAAAATCATTTGTTAATCAGGAAAAAATAGTTAGAGTTTGAGTCTTGTGGTACCACTTGCAATTTTAATTGTCCAATAACTGAATGTTTTTTTCTTTTAATGAAATCATTCACTCATCTCACTTTAGATATTTTTTTAGTTCGAGATTCTAATCCACGACCCACCAGATGTCAATCTAGTACGCTGATGTTATGACTACTAAGGCGATCCAATAATCGAATAACTTCGTACTTCACTGCCCTGCTTTTGTAGCATTACGCATTTTTTCGCACGCGCGATAAACTAGTCCAATAATCGAATCACTGCTTTCACACAATTGTTGATCACACAAAAAGTATTGTTTGTTGTATAGCCACGTTTTTTTTCCCCCTTAAGTCACTTGATTTTCATTCTCAATCGACACTATATTTGTATGCACCTGTAAAGCAAGTTGTTGTTTTTTTCCTATTCAATGAATCAATTATCTTGAAGAAAATGGGATACTACTTTACTCTACTCTTTTTTTTACTTTAGAAATACTACGCCACACTTTGTCTTATAATCTTCTTCAACACATCTGATATGTCTGCTATTTTTTATTATCAATATTAAATATTACTATTACAAAAAATTATCAAATAAAAATTACAATTTTATTCACTAAATTAAACAAAGCTCTGTCTATAGATTTCAAAACGCACGTACTCCCAATAAACGTTCTGCCAATAATCAAATTTTTTTTCTGGAACTTTCTCCTTCACCAGGAGAGCGCCAATAATCAAATGTACCCACTCGTGGTGACATCTCAATTAAAAAATGAAAACTTAATGGCAAAATTATGCGTACACGCGACTAACACACTTATTTAATAAGAGTGTGATAATGTACGTATAAGGCCCCCATTGGTATGTGTAACGTCACCCTTTGTCTAGGATTTGGTTTAAGCGCCAAACATCAGTTTGAATCAGTACAGAGAGTGCTTTCATTAAGTTCATATCGGTGTAATATTTTTTTTGTTATAACTATTATAAGAATGCCATCACGTCGAATAAACATACAACGACTTCTCGACCGGACGTTCAATGGTTATTCTTTCATAAAATATCGAGATCAAAGAAATAAAAGGTAAGATTTATAATTATTTATCATTAGCAATAGTTTTATGAGAGAAATAAATGCAAAGTCGGAACATCAGCAGCCATTATTCAGTGATTTTTAAGACAAATATTTCTTTTTCAATCGGTCTAAAGTAAATTATCGTAAAATTAGAAAGTTTTTTTTGTTAATTATTTCAAACTTTTTCAATGTCTTTGTTCAATAATCATATTATTACACATGTGCGCATTTTACGTGCATAGAACGCTACATTCCATACCCGCGAATTTTACGCATGTTGAACGCTTCGTAAAAGACGTATATGTGTGCGAGTCCAACAATTGTTTATATTGACTAATAAAATGTTTTTTATTCTCGAAGATTATTTCGTAACTATCGTAAAATTGTAGTTTTTTCGTTAATCGTTTTAACCTTTTTCAGTATTTTTGTTCAATAAGCATATTCCCTACACAAGTGTGCGTTTGATGTATTTTGAATGATACGTAAAACACGTACATGTGTGCAAGTCCAACAGTTGTTTACATTGACTAGTAATACGATATTGTTTATTCTCGTAGATTACTTCGCTGCAAATTATTTAGAAGTCATTATTGTGAAGGAAAAGGATATGTGTTAAATCTTCGTTTCGTAGAAACTACTCGTCACAACCATCCTGCAGATGAAAATCTTCTTCTAATGAACGCGTTTATAGATTTGTTACGTACTGCATGTTTCACACAACTAGCAGATACTAGGAGTATCTATAATCGACTTTCGATTTTGTAAGTTTTTTTTTTTTTGTGTTGACTATATAAAATTGGTAAACATTTATTGAAGTTTGTTCTCATGTTCCTTAAAATTAGTTTAGTTTTTTTTGTGTATATGTGTACTCTATATACAGATAATTTGATATATTTTTTTTTCTTTTCTAATAGGCATTAATGAAGTCAATACGCCCTGAAGAAAATGAATTGTAAAAATTTATTAAAAATTTTATAAATGTTCATGGTTTTGCCCATGACCTGTGTGCACGTGTTATGCCATTTTACAATTCATTTTTGTCAGTGTATTTTTTTTTTTTTTATTTATTTATAAAAATCTTTTCTTTTATATATCTATTCATTAATGTAGGCATAGAGAAGCTGCTCTATTACTACCATATAGAGTCGTAAAGAAAAACATGTATTGTTGGCAACGTAACGCGAGGATTCCAAGGGCACCGTCATTACGAGTATTTGATGCGGTTCTGAGAGTGCGAAGATATCAACAACTCACAATACACGATCAAGGGCTAATGAGCGTCAATTTCGAAAGGATTCATGAAGATGTAGTATCGTGCAGCTTTTTCGACAATGAATTAACCAGAAAAATTCTTACCAAAGTAAATGCCGATGCAATATCTTTATATGTTGACTGTAGTCACAGAATCATACCTGGAGAAATGGGCATACAAAGGACTATTTCGTGGAATATTAAATTGAATAATTATGTAAGTATCTGATCAATAAAAATTTTCTTTATAAATTTATAGCTTTGTAATATCGTTCTAATTATAAATTAAAATTTCAAATTTTTTTAGAGCTTCCCAATCTCTTGGAATTTCATAGCTGACAATAATGATCGTACCTATAACAATCTCGTCAGTGAAATAGAGTCAAATTTGATAGAAAACGATGTCATTCCTCATGTAATTTACTACAACTTCGATGAAAAACTCCATCGCTCGTTATCTAGAGAATTTCCTATGAGTTCTATTCACGGACTTTTTACTTCTCATTGCGAAATTTTATTAGCTCAAGCAAAAAACACCCAAGGAATCAACTTGAGAGATAGAAATCATCGTCTACTAGTAACAAAATTTATCTGTTTGAGTTTATTACCAGCAGATAATATTTACAGAGCATTTCTTGATTTATATCACGCGATTCCAAATGAGATTATAAGAGGTGGTTTTGAACCCTTTATTCGCTACTATTATGAGAAGTGGATCTATGGAGTAGGAGTTCAAAATTATGCTTGCAATAACATTGCGTCACTTGCTGACACATGTTGCACAAACTGGAGGAAAATAACTGCTATGCTGAAGAATCGTATGGATATATGGAACTTTACTAAAAAGTTATTAAAGTGGTATGCCAAATCTCATCGAGAAATAGCAAATATTGACCAAAATAAGCCCTTAAGTTGGACTCCACGAATAAGGTCATCGGTGAACAAATCAAGATTAAGAGAAATTTGGTGGTATTTTGACAATAACAGAATAAATGTTCATGAATTTTTGAAATTCGCATCAAATGTTGTCAGTCCTTCGGTAAACAATTATCTTTATAATGACGTTGAAATTGATCCGAATTTCACACTTGTCAAATTGGTCAATGATGAAAATGGTGAGTATACTAATACAAATTTATATACATATAAATAATGACGACAATTGCATAATTATAGTTGGCGAGCTACCAGCTTATGAGTATGAGCCAAACAACGATCTTTTTGAAGACAGAGTCTTAGACAATCTACCAGCACGTCGCCGAAACAATCACATTGGAGAGGACCAGGATAATAATGGTAAAAAGTGCATTTATTGTTGAAAAAAAAATTGATTGACTCGTAATTATAGAAAATTCTATCTTTATTACAGATTTTAATGACTCTGGATCTATCTTCTTTTTCTCGATCTACAAAAACTTATGCGTGCTATGTTCTCTTCATTTCTTACTTAGCACTCGGTCAGATTTTATCTATTCTATCTATTCTCTTTACTTCTTGATTCAAAATACTTATAAAATTATGTATGTATAGATGTTGTTAAACTATATAGTTAAATTAAGACATATATGTTAAAATTATATTACAGATCAACCAATGGAGGAAGCAAACATATGTCAAGCATGCGAGAGAAACAATGTTTTGATCGAGCTTCAACCATGTGGACATGCAGCTCTATGTGAAGACTGCTATGATATAATCGATGTACTGGCAGAAGCAGATCGTGAACAAGTAAGATGTCCTTTGTGCCGAGGAATCATTGAAGATATAATTCCTATCGTTTAAGTATCTTCGTAAAATTTTTTTTTAATGTAAAGATGACTATAAAGTTATTGTTATGAATACTATAACTATAATATTATAAAGATTATAAATAATATAAGTTATCTTTATCTTTTTTTAGACTATAATTTAAAGAATTAAAGTTACATAATTTAATTTTGAACTGAATTAAATATTTAAAGAACAAGGCATAGTATGTAAGTTTGTTTCGTCTAAAAAATTAAGTTTTTTCTACTAAAAATCAAAAAAAAAAAAACAACCAAATTTAATTTCATTAAAATTTCATATTTTTTTTAAACAAAACGAAAGAAAAAGTTCAGTTTAACTTTAAATATTATCAATGATTGTTTTAAAACAAATATTTGGAAATGCTATAGTTAATTGAGTGAATAATATTAACAATGCTGAATAGTTAACTCTACAAAATTTGATTTTAAACTGTGTGACATATTTAAAAAACAAGATATAGTATGTAAGATTGTTCCACTTGAAAAGTTAAGTTTTTTCTACGTAAAATTAAAAAAAAAAAACAACTAAATTTAATTTGATTAAGATTTCATTTTCTAAGAGAAAGAGGAAGTTCATGTTTGACTTTGAATATTATTAAGTAATAATTGTTCTAGAAATCATATAGCATTGTACACGCGTTATATTTTAATTAAAATTGAAAATTATGTAACAGAATAAGACGATGAATGTGGAATGATGATATTATGTATGAGGAGACTACATTCTTAATTCTAAATGTACAAATAACTGATTTATAGTTATTTTATATTTTTAATGATATGCACAGACATAAATGGAAAAAAAAATTTTTTTACATAATGGAGTGATCTCATGAGAATGCTTGAAAGTAATCAAATTTGTTGATTACGAGTTATCGTCATGGTAATAATTCTAATAAAATAAATATCAACGTGTGAGTGAATGAATATTTTTTTTTTATTATTGTGTATCGATATACCCTTTGGTATAATAAAAAATAATGCTTCAAAGAAAAATTTATGATAAAAATTATTATCGTTCATTCCACACTTGAATTGAAAAGGAAATAAATTATCGTACGATGATCTTCAGGTAGAAATAGTAATGAAGCTATTCTAACATGGTTGCAAAAAAAGCTCACATTTTCTCATCGTATACTTCTTTAATTAGTATTTAAATTTTGCTATGCATAATAATGATAATTATAAAAAACAATTATTTCGCTCTAGTTTTAACAGAGTTAGAAAAAAAGAATAAAGATGCACCAGTTGGTATTAATCATCGATATAACATACGAGATAAAGCTGATAAATTGAAAACAATAGATCTTAGCATTGATGTGTCAGTAAGTCTGTTAGATTAATCTATAAATAAACTTCTTCACTTCATTTTAATTGACTTTGTATATTTAGAAAATTGATTCAAAAATTGAGCGAGTCCTTAATACCTGTGAAAATTATAACTTAGTTACTCAATTAAAACCAAAACATTTTTTACATAGTTAGAAATTAAATCAGATTAATTTATTTATTTAACAATCTATTTTTTCTGCATATAAACAATTCAGTCTAATTTTTTATTTAATTTAATTCAGTTATTTTCTATTGTTTGAATTTTATGTTCGAACACATATTTACTTATGATATGAGCCAAGAGAAAATCTTCTTTATCAACTGCAGAAATACAGAGGGCGTTGGCGTCAGTACATTGTGACATTTACAAAAAATTACCATTATTTATTCATCAATTTATTTATTTAATATAATATAAAATAATAATATTATTCAATAAAATAATTGACTCTATTGTCATTCATCATTAATGAATGCTGTTAATAATTGTTGATATACAACCTGAAATATACATATTAAGATCTCGGAAATTTTACCGTAGTACAAAATCAAGTCGTAGGCATTTGTTGCATTCGGGACCTTCTATGGCACCCCGGGAAACTTTTTGACTTCAGCCCAGCCTTAAGGCTGGGCTATACCGAAGAAAAGTTTCGAAGTTGACTTTGCGCCGTTGCGTTGGGCGGCGGAAGGCCGAAGCTCGATTTCAATTGAGTAGGTAACGGAAATTTCTCAAAAAATGATAATTTTCAGGAATGCACTAAAAAAAGGGCGCCTTAGGGCACCAAGAAATTCCAGAATCATCTGTTCCGAGCAATATAGAGCAAGAATATATCTATCCATCTCCGTCTTATTTGTCAGAAAGAAGACTGCGAGTTCGAGCAGTTGGCGAGCAAGCTCAGCCCCCACCTTAACTTCTGTTTCCAAGTCGAAGCTTACGATACATAAACATAAACAACATAAATAAATAAGTATTTACAATTAATTTGCGAGTTAAGACTTAGTTAAAAATTGAAAACTAATAGTAACTAATAAATTATTATTGCAATATTGAATTATTTGGATGAATATACAGTATAAATCTGGTGTAATAAAAATTCTTTTCACTATTCCTACACGGAGTAATTTCAAGTATATGTATAATTGTTTTAACAAAATTATTATTATCTAAAAAAATTTAATTTTCACAGCATCGACATTTTGATTATAATTACTAGTTTACATGAAATTTACGCTATTTTACAGTCAACCAAACACATTCATATTCGAAAAAGTTATTACAATTTAAACACTAAATCTCTCAATTAACATATTTGGTCCGTTCTCCTCATACTCTTCTCGGGTTAACAACATAAAATTCAATGCTGAATCATTTGTAAGTATTTTTCCACCTTCCCATGCATAAGTCTCGGGCCTACAAATAAAGTGCAGTGTATTACGCATTATATTATATATATAAACTAATTTATAGCTAATAAAAATTACTTGTTTGGTAACGTGACATTAATGAGCAATTCGTCGGGTGCGAGACTTCGAAGATTATTATAAAGTCTTTCTTTGAATCCAGGAAATTTCGTATTACCACCAGTAAGAACAATGTTCGCTAATAAATGAGGCCAATGTTCTTCTTCACAAGATTTTACGGAATTCATGATTGCTTCGGGAATTCCCATTTGTCGAATGCCAACATCAGACGGATTAAATAAAATTTCTGGTACAACAAATCTCTCATTATTCAATCGTAAAGTTTGTTGCTCTCCCTGTGATTGAGGGTTACGAAGAAAACCTCGTCTAAGAGAAGTATAATCAGGAAGAACATAATCTTTAATAATTGAATTATATTCTAGGCTTATTTGTGCAATTTTCATATCCTTGTAAAAATCTTGTGATACAAAACATGAATCTTCTTTTACTTGATTAATTACGTAGGTTTCATCCATTACATGTAGCTGACGATAAGAAATTATTTCTTTCAAATGATTTGTCAATAATTTACCGCCAACATCAATTCGTCGAATTCCATCTTTGAATTTTACCCCATTCACATAAGGAACTATGTAAGTGAAACTGTAACCTGAATCAACGATAATGCAAGTTTTACATTCAGAGTGTGTGTTTTTATAATTCATATAAGATAATGTCGGTGAATTTATTAAAAGAAGACTCTGACACTCATATTCTTCAAAAAAAATTTCAGTCATAGTTTCTTGAATTGGACCAAAGTTAAATAGTGGTTCTGTCACAATTAATGGCATTTCACTGAGATTCACATTACAGCAATCTTTTGAAAATAAGAAATCCCAAACTGTTTTTTGAATATCCCAATTTACAAGATATCCTTTCTGAAAGGGAAGCATATAAAAAAGCCCTGAAGCATCACGACAATCATCGATTTGATTACCAACAAAGGGTCTTCTACGTTCACTTTTAGCTTTCATAATACAATTTGGAATTATCCTGAAAAAAATGAATAAATAGCTATAAGTAATCATTTCAAAATAATCAGAAGAAAATTTTTAAACAATTTTAATTACATTGGGTTGTCAGTAGCGAAACCGGCTTTAGCAGTATAAGCACCATTGTCTAAAATAAAAGCCATTGTAAAAAGTTTTGATACTTAAAAATTTGATTTTTATGCCACAAAATATTGTAAACAATTGGTCATGCATTCACAAAACCAATGTTATTTTACATAGTGTAATTAAAACAGAATGATATGCTGTTTTTACTTCTTTCAAATTTGAGGAAAGAGACACTATGTCTTTCTTAACTGATACATGACACACATAAAATTAACTTCAAATACGAACAATCATTTACTAACTTAGTATCACAGAAAATACAATTTTCTTTTACACATTGTTACCATGCTTGATACCAGAGAGGATATTGTACACTCAGCGTCATTGATGCCGTCGGAATTTGTACAGAAGAGTATAGAGAAATCTTATGTATAACCTTCAAAAAATTGGATACCATTTATGTCGCGCAGTGTAGTCGAACTGAGAATAGAATCCCTCAGATGCTCTTCGTGTGTTCTTGTATTTATGTCCGTTACTGTATACATAAATGCTGTTTAAGGCTGGGCTGAAGTCAGAAAGTTTCCCGGAGTTGACTTTACGCCCTCGCGTTGTGCGGCAAAAGGCCGAAGCTTGACATCAACTGAAATTGAGTAGGTAACCATGAAATCGGTCGAAAAATGATAATTTTCAGGGATGCACTACAAAAAGGGAGCCTTAGGGTACCAAGAAATTTACAAATTTCAGAATAATCTGTTCCGAGCAAGACAGAGCACAAAATATATCTATCTATCTCCGTCTTATTTTTCAGAGAAGACTGCGAGTTCGAACAGTTGACGAGCAAGCACATTCCCTACCCTCTGTTACTAAGCCTGAAGCTTACGATATCTAAACGTAAACAAAGCAAATGAAAATATGCTAGCTCTATAGTCAGAAGGTTCGCCAGTTATTTTACCGAACGATGTTCGATTCCAATTGCGGCAAAATTTTTTTTTATTTAAATTGCATGTAATTGCAATTTTATCATGCCAAAAATGAGTTTTAAATTTCAATTTTTATGTAAAATTTTTTTTTCAATTAATCAATGACAAATGAGAGAATATTTGAACAGGGCCATTAACCTTTTTTTGTACAAATACATTGATAATAGCCTTTTTTAACAACTTATTAACAATAAAAAATAGTTTAAACAATCCGCGGCGAGTTCCGATACTTCGCCGGCAAGCTCGACCCCCACTTTCTGTGCCCAAGCCTGTAGCTTATAATTTTCAAGCATCGTTTTCTATAATTGGAACTATAATAGCTCAGTGGTTAGAGCCCCGACCTTTTATTTTGCTGGGCAGGGTTCGATCCCAGTCATAGGCAATTTTTTCTTCTGTTTCTTGTTCAAGTGACTTTATATACTTATAAATCAATTCATATATTTTATTACATTATTCTTCCAATTAATTACGAAAAAAAACTTGTTTTTCTGAAAATAAGCTGAGGGTGAGGAACGAGTTACTATGAATTCTCTTTTTTAGAAAATGTTGACTTTAAAAGACACTAGGAATTGATTTTGAACTTATACAAACAACCAATTATTGTATTTATATAAAATTTTAATGAAAAAAAAAAATTGGCTATAACTGGGATCGAACCCTAATCGGTAAAATGAAAGCTTGGTGTTCTACCTACAGAGCTAACATATTATCTCTGACATCATGTTTATGTTTATAAATTGTATAATGCAGGCTTGAGTACGAAAGGTGGGGATAGAGCTTGCCGGCGAAGTGCCGGAAATCCCCGTGGATTATTTCAACTACTTCTAAATATTTCTAAATTGCTTAAAAAAAAGCTACGTTCATATAGCTATAGTAAGAAAAGTGTTTATAACCCTGTTCATGTTTTCCGACTCGGCGTCGATAAATTACATAAATAATTGAGAAAAAAAAATCAAATTGTTGGTAAGAATTCATTTTAGCATGTTAATATTATAATTACATGCAAATCTAACAAATAAAAGAGAAAAAAAAAACTTTATCATGACTGGAATCGAACCCTGCCTAGCAAAATAAAAGACCGATGCTGTAACCACTGAGCTGTTATGGTTCCAATACGCTTATATATGCTTAAAAATTATAAGCTGCAGGCTTGGGCACAGAGAATGGGGGTAGAGCTTGCCGGGAAAGTGCCGAAACTCGCCACAGATTGTTTAAACTACTTTTTAATGTTATTAATAATATGATTAACTTGTTAATAACTTTTTTATAACATAAAATTGTTAATACATGTAAAGATGTATAAGTTGTTAAACACAGGCTAGTATCAATGTATTTATACAAAAAAAAAGTTTATGGCTCTGTTCAAATATTTTCCGACTTAGCGTCAATAAATTCAATGAGTAAAGAGGAAAAAAAATCAAATCGTTATAATGGATTAATTATGGCATGTCAATATTATAATTACATGCTAATCTAACGAATAAAGTAGAAAAAATAGTGATTATGACTGGGATCGAACCCTGCCCGGCAAAATAGACCTCTGACGCTCTAACCACATGGCCAGCATAATCTCGGTATTGAGTTTATGTGCATTTGTTTTTACACTACATGCTTGGATACGCCGACTTGGAATTGAGCTTCTTTATTAACATTTATACCTAATAATAATGATAATAATGGATAAATATATGTATTTGAAGTCATTTGCAGATATTATATTAATTAATGTTAAATGAGTATCATCATTTTTATTTATTCTAACTGCAATAGTCATCAAAGTATAAGGCATTGTAAAGCGATACACCATAAAGACTATAGAACAGGAGTCCAAACTCTGGGGCCTCTCATACGGAAAATTCGTACAGGAAATTTTTTAGAGCAAAGGTTCTAAAACCAGCCACCAGTGGTGCTGAATTACGTCGTGTACCGAGTGAATTTAGCAGCATGTAAGACGCGCGAAGTTAGTAAGAAGACGTCATTGAATTTAGCTAACCTTTTGCTAAGTGGAAAATGTTGTGATAAATTGTAAATTTTTTAAATTGTGTAAAAATGACAAAATGTTGTGTTGTGCAAGGATGCAAAAGCGGTCATTCAGATGATGAGCGGAAACGCAAAGCTAAAGGTTTACGGAAAAGAACACTCTTTCAAGTTCCAAAAGTGAGTATCACTCATTGCATTTGGAGTGAGTTTTTTAGATGAAATTTATTTACAATGCTACTTAAAATTAATTTACAGTGTCATATTCGACGTCACTGTGGTAAATGCTCTTCAACAAGAACTTAAAGACAGTGATCGTGTCTGTGAACTTCATTTTTTGGATGAATATATCGTAAAGGGCAAATCAGTTTCTGATCAATGGGGAGTCTATTTTCATAGAAAATAAGAAAGGTGGCATTTAACTGATAACGCGATCCCGTCTTAGAGAAGAAAAATGTCAAAATCAGCATCGGATGAATTGCAATCAGGTATTTAACCAATCCCTTAACGTAATTTTTTATATATAAGAAGAAAAAAAATTAATTAATAAATATTGTTATTCTAAGTCTACGGAAGAAGAACAATCGTGTTCGCTATCAGAACAACAAATTTTGTGATCAACAATTTATTCAAGAAGAGCAAATTCTTCTAGTGACACTGAAAATTTACAGCCAACAGGACTACTATTGGAGCAGTCGTTGAGCCATCAGTTTCCCAAATGGAATGCGATGAGGTAAAAAGTTTAAGATAACATTGAAAATTATGAAACTGAAAATATTGGAAAATAAAAATAATTGTTTATTTTGCAGATTATACCAATGAAGTGGTTGCTAGAGCAAACTGCATCATCGTTATCTGCAGTTTCATTAGCGTTTACCAAATGAATGTGTCACTAGAGCAAGTAGTATCATCGTTTTCGGCAGTTTTACCAGAACGTTAGTGTTACTATGTACAATCATCGGATATGATTTTGATTCATCGCGATGTAGGTAGCTTGTTGGAAAAATTAAGATTACGAGTAACAGCTGATCTTCTGTTACGGTAAGAAGATAAACGCAATTTGTATGTTTCATAAAATAAAATTACAATAAATAATTTAAATAAATAGCAAAGAAAAATAAATCATATAAACTAAGAAATAAGTAAATAGACTAAAATTAGAGAATTTTAAGTAATTACAATAATAAATAATTACAATCAAATTTATATAGAACATAATTGAAACAATTGACTTTAAATATTGTATGTCCATTATTCTAGCTTGTAATGCCACATCGATCAGAAAGAATTCGCACTGATCGTGTATCATCTATGGAAGAATTGTACGCATCTATGCGTAAAGCAGAGCCCTCACAAGTTGTTGCGGAACATTATTTGATGAAAATAGGTCAAATATTTTTAAATACGTTGTTTTATTCTGTCACAATTTTTGTGATATTAATTACAACTGAAAAAATGTATCATAATAGATTTCATCTACATTCACAAGTACAAATAATGATAAGTGTGGTGGATTTCTCATCGTTTTTCCAGATATGCCACCCAGTGTAGTGGAATCATCACACCAAATGAAAATTATCAGCGTCAGCAATTAAATCCTCGCTGTCGAGCGTGCCGCATACTTCGCCAAAGAATACAAGCAACAGGAGATATAAACGCGATTCGACACTTGCTTTTCGTATTAAACGAAAAAAGGAAATTTACCGACAACGATGTCATCGACTTATTAAGAAGGTATGATGTATTTATTTTTAAATTGTTGTGTCGGCAACCTGTAGTCGTAACATTTGACGTAATATTAAAATTACTTCATATTTGTTACATATTTCATTTTAATATAATGTATTAAATTCCTAATTTATTAACTTCATTAAAATGCAGATGAACATAATAATTTCGTTTCATTTTGAACGTGATAATTTTGAGTACGATTATCTCATGACATCTCGTCTCAGTCAAGATCCCTTGGAGGTAAATATAAGTTTGGATAATATTATTATTTGTATGATGTTCGTAATTGTAAAATTAAAATATCATGATTATAAATATAAAATTTATAATTATAATAACGTGTTGCATATTATTATACAAAGAATATTATAACATATCTTTATTTGATTCATTACAGAGATTTTTTTCTATCATGCGGAATTCTTGTGGATCCAATGATCACCCCGATCCAAAATTATTTGGTCAAGTATTCAGACTCGTATCGTGTTTCTCCTTAGTTCGTCCACCAAAAGACTGTAACGTTTCTGGCCCTCAGCTTTTGTCAACATTAATGCAAACTCAAGATTCGTTGTACCTAACACAAAGACCTAGGAAAGAGTGGTTAAATAAAATTGATGAATTATTAGAAGATAATTTTGAAAACGAAGAGCGAGATTGTGTTGAAGATGATATTACGGAGCATGATTACTGTATTTTTAATACAAGCGATGAAGTTCAAGCATTCATTGCTGGTTACATTACTAAAAAAATGCAAATTTTATTAAGGTACGAAGATTGTAAAATTACTTTACAAGCAACGGAAGATGAACGGAACGATGATGTAATGAATTGATTCGGCTCAGAGATTTTTATGATGGCCTTTCTTATCAATCTAAACAATTATTTGAACTAACAAGAACATTAGAAAAATCTGTTCTTAAGATAGTTGGAACATCGGAAGTTCAAATAGACACTCTTCACGACATACTCAAAGAAGCAGGAAAACAAAATTTACCACATGTTGGCTGTGAATCTCATGAACATGAAGTAACTTCAAGGGTGATCGACAAGTATTTAGTAATGCGAGGTTTCTTTCTTGCAAAATATGCAAATCGCAAATTTGAAGATCGCGCGAAGCAGTGCAAAATTTATCGAAAGAATGCTAAATATTATAACACTGGACAGTAATTATATTCGGCTTCGTGAGGTAACTAAAAAAATAGAATTGTTGCGTCAAAATAATGCAAAAATTGATGCTATAGATGCAGCAGGTCGAACTCCATTTCTTTCAGCTTGTGATTCTGGCAATCTTGAAGCAGTCAAATATCCAATAAATAATAATGCTAATATTCATCCTAGTGATTCAGAAAAATAATTTATACGATGTTTTTGTGTTTTCCAATTTGAAAAGACATTAAGAGATTTGTATTTGAAATGACATCAGTACATATGTCAGATTTTTATACTCTTGTAATGTTTTTATGGTATAAATTATAACGAAAATAAAAATGCAGTTTTCAATGATTTATTGTAATCTAATTTTTTTCAAAATATACCAAAAATTAATTCATTTGTCGATTTCGTCAGAAATATTATAAAAAAATATTTTCAATGATTGGTTTTTTCAAAAAAACTTTTTTTAAAGAAAAATCAATAAAATATTAAGTTTGTAAGTTTGGATTTTTAATACTTTCAATGTCTATCATTTTTCCTGCTAGAAATTTCAATATTTGTTAACACCCCAGAGAGGTGAATTTCTCTCTGATGAATCCTACGCTCACAGATGGTATGATAGTTCGCTGTCTTTAAAAGTTTTATAAAAAATATTGTTAAAATATTGATGCAAAAGAATGTGACATTATTGGATTATTAATTGTCTACAAATCATATGTCTGAAATAAGTAAACGTGGTCTGACAATGGTTTTGTTGCGGACTGAATGCGATGATAGTTTTTCATTGCACATCAACGTTGCTTCTAGAAATAAAATAAAATTGTTTGTAGTGAATCAACATCTCAAATTATTAAAAAAAAAATTAACTTTTTTGAGTTGAATTCATTATGTCGACTTATTTAAGACAGAAATAGAAATCTACGTACAAATAATCAAATCCGATGAAATTAGTTTGAATCACACTTTTTGCTGTGGATTCGGTAGATGAGATGGATAGCAAATGATGAAGTAAATGTGGTCCAATTCGAACAAAAACTAATCTAGTTAAACCATCTTCAGTTTCTGCTTGCGAAGAGATCTTAGAAATTTTTACTTGATGCCACTTCAACATATAACTGTATGGATAGAGTTTTGAAGAAAAGATTCCATAGAAATATTCCCGCAAATAAGACTGAAAACTTTACTTTCGATCCGTTAATCGTCATCAAAATATATTGATGATAATAAATTGCCAATACCATCTGTTTATGTAGGATTTGCATTCGTTTTAGTTCTCTCAATTTCAATTTAGACAGAGAAAAGACTTTTCTCCGATAACTAACTATGTATGATAAATTTAAACAAATTATTTAAATATTACATAATTATCATAGAAAATTAATACAATTTATGCACGATTTTACTGAATGTTCACAGTTCATATAAAAGATAGGTAATTAAATTTTTACAATTTGTTATTATGTATACTTTAAAAAATATGGGAAATTGACTATTAAAATCTCTAAATTAATAACATATTATTTAATATTGTAAAAAAAAATTATTGTATACATGTTATAAGAAATGTATTTTCTCTATAATTATATAAAATACATTGGATAAAAATTATATTTTGATATTTTCAATGTTATGTTATTCCTAAAAATAATATAACAGTCATGGAAAGTAGTACTTATAAGCTAGATATATAAGTTATTAAAATACCTAATAATTTAACATTAATATAAAATTTAAGTATACCTTAATTATTTTTAATTTCATTCAAACATTGTTCAATTCCTCCAAAAATAGGATTATTAATAATATAATTAATACTCTTGCTATAATAATGTTTAATTTTGTGTTTACTATCAATTTTTTTCTATACAAAAAGTAAATTCAATTTTTTTTATATTTTTAATCATGTATTTAAATATACCGGGAATTTCCCCCTCTACCTCGGTAACTTAGCGACCACAGCGCACTCTGCCCGCGAACGTTATTTTTTCAAAATTCCGGCTCAACTTTTATACACAGAGTTTGGACTCCTGTTCTATAGTCTTCATGGGCTTCGACCAATGAACTCACACCGAGTCCAGAAGGTGACACTACTGTCATTTGCTAAACCTGGACGTTACACTGGGTAGTGCTGTAACATTGCCGTCGTTTTTATGTGAACAGCACTCTACTTTTACTTTTACTATTTGGCAACCCTGCATAGTTCGCCAATAGAGTACGACCGTACATATGTCACCACATGCTCAGTCTTATACCATAGTGGTTGTAATTTTCAGCCTAAATCTTTTCTACAGATGTGTAAATAAGTCCTTTATTCATCGTTATAGAACTCGTGAATGTGGAAATGATGTATTTTATTATAGAGCAATTGTAAAATATTTGAATTCCTAGAGTTTTTCAAGTAGAAAGTTAAAATGGCTGACCGTGATAGCGCTTCTGAAAGTGATTCAAGTTCAATTGATGGTGGTCCAATTATGATGCCACCATCACCAATTACTCGAGAACAACTTCAAAAAAAGGATTGAATCATTACAACAACATAATCGCGTTTTAAAAGTTGAGCTCGAGACATACAAATTACGCGTAAAAGCACTTCAGGAAGAAAATCGTAGTTTACGTCAAGCTTCAGTTATTATTGTAAGTTATTTCTTTGTATTCATTTAAAAATATTTGAAAATATTATTCTATTGACTTTTTCATTTCTATGTATTTATTAAATGTTTGCAATTTTGATGATATTATATACTGTTAAAAAGTATTAACATTTTTTCTATTTTTACTATGTAAATGCTATTTTTTTTATAATATCAAAAACAAAGTAAAAAATCGACTTTATTATGCAAATTTTTGTTTCATTTTAGCAAGCGAAAGCTGAACAAGAAGAAGAATTTATCAGTAACACTCTTTTAAAGAAAATTCAAGCTCTAAAGAAAGAAAAAGAGACATTAGCTCATCACTATGAACAAGAAGAAGAATGTTTAACCAATGACTTGTCTAGAAAATTAAATCAACTGAGGCAAGAAAAATGCAAATTGGAACAAACTTTAGAACAGGAACAAGAATGTTTAGTTAATAAGTTGATGCGAAAAATTGAGAAATTGGAGGCTGAAACTTTAGCCAAACAAAGTAATTTGGAACAACTTCGAAGAGAAAAAGTAGAATTGGAAAATACTTTAGAACAAGAGCAGGAAGCTCTTGTTAATAAATTGTGGAAGCGTATGGATAAATTAGAAGCAGAAAAGCGAATGCTTCAATAAAACTAGATCAGCCTGTATCTGATCCAACATCACCGCGAGATATTAATAATGGTGATACTGCAACTAATCTTAGTACTCATATTCAAACTTTAAGAAGTGAAGTCGCGAGATTACGACATACACTTTTAATATCACAACAAGAACATACAGAAAAAATGCAACGATATGTAAATGAAGAAAAACACATAAGAGAAGAAAATTTGAGGCTTCAACGAAAATTACAGCTTGAAGTGGAAAGACGTGAAGCTCTTTGTAGACATTTATCTGAATCTGAGTCTAGTTTGGAAATGGAAGAAGAACGTCATTACAATGAAATAGTTATGTCAGGAAGCAATATACGAAACCGCACAGTATCAAGTCCAATACCATATAATCCTTCTCCAAATTCATCTAGACCACTTAGTCCTGGAGTGAATATTGTTGGTTCGACATCCCGTGACAGCTATACATCTAATCGTTGCTTTGCTTGTGGTCAAACTATAATGCTTCCATTTTCTAGTTCACCACCATCAACAAGTGGTCATATAGTTCCTCCTTCATCAAGGCGAACTTCAGATAGATTTATCAAACCCGCTATTCCGCCAACTATTGTTAGTCCTAGTGGACCACCGATAACTGCACCTACAATAAATACGTCTAATAGCTCACCAATGGATATTTCTAAAACATAATTCAAATATTTCAGTAAAAATTTTGAATATCCTTTTCTTTAAGTATGTAAGCTGTAATGATTATAAAACTTCAAATTACAAAGAATACAATATACTTATATCGTTTTGTTGATAAAATATGCATAAATAATTATTAAGATTTCAAAAATAATGAATTTAAATTTTTGTTACACAAACGCCTATGATAATAAATCATTTTATTATTTTAAATTTATATCAAAAAATATGAAATGATAAGTTTTATTTTTGTTATTATAATCTGAATTAGATTTACGTCAGAATGAATGATCCCAAGTAAATATAATTTCGAGTAATATTTGCAATAAATTCAAGCCTAGTAATCCTGAGTTCAAAGAGTAAAATTTATTTTATTTCTTATTTTTACAAACATGCATGGATTTGGTAATTTACTAAAAGTTTTATTAACAAACTTGATAATAAATCTTCATTAAAAAAACGAGCTAGATTCATATTAAAAATTAGTATTTAATATCTGTAATCACAAATGTATAAAATTATTAGTTGTAAAATTACTTTTACCTTGAATGATTACTTGCAATGAGCACACATAAAAAATCTTATTTAGTAAATACTATACAATTTATTGCTAACCACATTGTTAAAGATATCGAAGTATTGTCCATTCTTGGCCAGCTCAAAAAATTTTCAAATGGATGTAGTGATCCTTTCGGTAAAATAACAATCGGCTCTTTTTGATAAATCTTCATTAGCATTATCAATATGACCCACTGGAAATTATAGTGAATAGAAGAATGATTCTTTTAACTTATAATTGTAAAATTTATACAAACAATAGTTACGTTTAGAATTTTAATAAGGTAAGTGAAGACAAGTTGCACTTTCATTCTATAAGATAGTCTTGCTGAAACTAAGACAATTAAACACAATACGAAAATATTAACAATTCAGTCATTATATGAGTAAAAACTCTATTTTTTACACACCTTCTTTTCGGTAAATTTCAATTAACGTCGTGTGTTTTCTTTGTAATTTTGAATACTTAGAAAATTCATCAACATGAGATATTTTGCTCATTTCATTTTTTAATACAAGAATTTCATTTTTTAATTTATATTCAGCTTTATTTTCTGCAAAAATCCAGCTTATGAACTAAAATCAACTCAAACAAAGTATATTGTTAATGTGATTGAGTTAGAAATTTTTTCTTAGTTTCGTTAATTTATACTTACATGCTTGATAATAATTGGAACAAAGTTCAAAAAACAGTACGCACTAGTAGTAATTAAAAATAATACAGTCATCTTTTTGCATTGCTTTAAACGACTTGAAAATAATTCTAACCATAAAGGTTAGAAATGAAGTACACCCAAACGCAGTAAGTTGTGAACAAGCTCAGAAATAATTTGTGCGCATGCACCAAAATAATTTCCATGTATAACCTCCAAGTCTATACTCTCCAATATTTCGACTACATATATGATAATATATAGTATCTATTGCATGTATGTCCAGTCTACATACTCTTTTTTTGGTTCGACTATATTGTGAGTGTTAGAGTTTACAATAAAATCTTTAAGAATTTGTTTTTTGCTAATTATTTAATTTTGTACTTCAGTATTTTATTTTTAAATTAATTTATTTGGTATTCAAAACGGGGGCCGAGCAATCACTCATGTCAGTCTCGCAAATGGAAAGTATCCTTTGACAAACAAATCTTATTAAATCATTCGATAAACATTACTCATCGATAGTACAATTGGAAATTAAGACATTAGTGAGTTATTAACAATATCAATGTTTCACAAAATTATGCGTATTATTATACATATTTTATTAATTGTTCACATTTCTCTTAGTTTAAATGTCAGATTACTGATGTTTTTTGCTTGTCGCCATTGAATAATTTTGCTATTTTAAGTACTTTGAAATTCAAAAGATCACGAATCAAATAATAGTTAAATTATTAGAACTGAAAACAAATAAAAACAAAAAATTGATGAATCACTCATTTTCTCTTAGAGGTTGGAATTATATGTATTCCTTAAAATGTATATAGAAAATTTATTTAATTTAAAAATTTGCGGTAAAAGAATTAGAACGTAATTCGAAGAAATGCGAAAAAGAAGAGAAAATAGAAAAAACAAAAATTAAAAAAGCGATACAAAAAGGAAATATGGAAGGAGCGCGAATACATGCTGAGAATGCTATAAGACAAAAGAATCAAGCTCTGAATTATTTAAGGATGAGTGCTAGAGTAGATGCTGTTGCTAGTCGAGTTCAAACAGCTTTAACAACCAGAAAAGTGACTCAATCGATGGCAGGTGTAGTAAAAGCTATGGATGCAGCCATGAAATCTATGAATTTAGAAAAAATTTCGGGTTTAATGGATAAATTTGAAAGTCAGTTCGAGGACTTAGATGTTCAAAGTTCATACATGGAAAATGCAATGTCGCAAACCACGACGACTAACGTACCTCAAAACGATGTTGATTCACTACTTCAACAAGTCGCTGATGAAGCTGGGTAATTAAAACTTGACGCAAACTATCAAACATATCATCAAAATATAAACAATTTTTTATTCATATTTTAGATTAGAATTAAACATGGAATTGCCATCAGGACAATTAGGCAGCATTGGGATCGGTTCATCAACAACTGCAAGTCAAGAACAAGATGAATTAACACAGCGTTTAGCACGGTTACGAGAATAAAATATTAAAGTTATATTAATAACAATTAAAGAACTGCAAAAACATCTACAATATGACTAATGTTACTGCTTTTTTAAAATCTAGAATAGAAGTTTGTTTACTAATGTAATAATAATTATCATATATATATATATATACATGTCGGATGGTATTATATTTTTATATATTATATAAAATAATAAAAATAATACCATTCATTAACATACTTTATAATAGCGGAATTATGTTGTATAAATTTTTGAATTTCAAATGCTATCATAGGAATAATCTATTGATCATTGTTACGAGTGCACATATGGCTAAATTATATAAAAACATTCTATTCTTACCCATTGTCAATTTATTACTGGAAAACATCTGAAGGTTCGTTTTCTTTAGTGGTAATTCCTAAACATAATACAGCATTGAACTTCTATGCAGGTCTATTTTCTCTGGCACGAAGAGAATTATTTTATCAAAAACAGCTCAACTCTATGATCCACTTGGATTTCTAGCACCGTTCATCGTCAGAGCAAAGATTTATTTAAACACAATTCACTTGGCGTGGCTATCGATTATATGAACCATCTAATCAATTATAGTTTTATCTACAGCTGTAAGAGCCACGCCAAGTTAATTGTGTTTAAATAAATTTTTATAAAAAAAGAGAAATTTTGTTTTTAATTCAATTTTTTTTCTAGTTTTAAAATTTTAAAACGTAATAAGGCTGTCAACTTTCTTCATGTATTGAATTTTTTTTCATCTCATTATAAAGAGTTTGTCTTTGATTTATGTAGAAAATTACATAATAATTTAACGAAAATTAAAAAACATTTCTATTTTATTTTATTAAATATAATTAATCTTTATGTTCAAATACTTGGCTGCAATGATTTCACGCATTTTTGTAGTTGTTCACATAAAGAAGTTTTATAGAGATCGCACTTGATGAACGATGATCATCGTCTTCGTTATTCATATTTGGCGCGTATTTTTGTGAATTCCGTTAGGGCTATTTTTGGTGTGATTTCACGATTTTTTGTACAACAAACGGAATGTGCATCATTCGACTCCATTACTACGACATGGAATTTTAGAACAGACATCACTATCTGTATATAGATAGTACAGTACCGGACATAGATGCTGTTCAATTTTTTAAGAGTTATACAAGCGATTTCCCTATACCGTCCGATAGAAAATCACACAGCATTAATGTCCGGTACTGTATAATAGTCTTTAGTCTGGTAGTATTTAATTATCAACTCAATAAAAAAAAATTGTTATCTCCTACCGATCTTGAGATATAAACAAAATTACTGATTAAAGGACATGAATTAGTTTTCAAAAAACGTAAAACGATTTTTTTTAAACGTCAAACCATCGGTAATACATTCTATGTATTACCTATCAACTTAAGGCTGGGCTGAAGTCAGAGAGGCGACTGATTGCCCCTATCCGAATAAATGGGATCGGGATATTTCTAATTTCTTCGCCAATTTACTATTATTTCTATAAAATTAGGTACCAAATTACAGAGGAATTAATGCCGGACTGACGTAAACAACAATTTTTTGTATATAGTGAATATTTTTATTAAAAAAAATTAGAAAGAATAATGAAAAAATTATGAATTGACTTGCCGCGCTTAAATTTCAAGATGGCGGCCACATCATTCAGATGAAAAATCACTAATTATTCTATTTTTATACGTTTTTCGCCCAAAATTCGTGTTTGCGTCAGTCTTTGCCATCTGTCTGAATGTCAAAAAAATCAATTCATAGTATAAAATTGAATAATTCAGAAATAATTAGAAATGTTGTATTCCAGATGATATTCTCCGGAAAATTAGTTTGAAAGAATTCTGATAGGTGACAGCATTATGCTCGCAGATGACGTCAGTCATCCATATTGAAAAGATGCGCAATCCGTATCCAGAACTGATGGTGCCCTGCATTTTGGTGAGTAATTTGTGTATGTGTGTGTACGGGTAATATATGTATGTGATGTAAACATAGTGTATCGCTTTACAATGCCTTATACTTTGATGACTATTGCAGTTAGAATAAATAAAAATGATGATACTCATTTAACATTAATTAATATAATATCTGCCATGTGGTTAGAGCGTCAGAGGTCTATTTTGCCGGGCAGGGTTCGATCCCAGTCATAATCACTATTTTTTCTACTTTATTCGTTAGATTAGCATGTAATTATAATATTGACATGCCATAATTAATCCATTATAACGATTTGATTTTTTTTCCTCTTTACTCATTGAATTTATTGAGGCTAAGTCGGAAAATATTTGAACAGAGCCATAAACTTTTTTTTGTATAAATACATTGATACTAGCCTGTGTTTAACAACTTATACATCTTTACATGTATAACAATTTTATGTTATAAAAAAGTTATTAACAAGTTAATCATATTATTAATAACATTAAAAAGTAGTTTAAAACAATCTGTGGCGAGTTTCGGCACTTTCCCGGTAAGCTCTACCCTCATTCTCTGTGCCCAAGCCTGCAGCTTATAATTTTTAAGCATATATAAGCGTATTGGAACCATAACAGCTCAGTGGTTACAGCATCGTTCTTTTATTTTGCTAGGCAGGGTTCGATTCCAGTCATGATAAAGTTTTTTTTTCTCTTTTATTTGTTAGATTTGCATGTAATTATAATATTAACATGCTAAAATGAATTCTTACTAAAGATTTGATTTTTTCTTCTTAAGGCTGGGCTTTACTACCCTCAAATCACCTCGAATTTTTCTCGTCAAACTGTGCATTTTTTATTTGTTTTTTTCATGTAAAAAATATTTAGGAATATTTAGAAAAGTGGCATACACATCGGAAAACAAAGATTTATAATACGAGTGTAATAATAATCGTAGAATAAATAACTTTTCAGTGAAGGGCTCATGACAAGTGCATCCGCCATGACACCTCAAAATTCACTGAACAGTTATTTATTCTACGATTATTATTACACTTGAACTATAAATCTTTGTTTTCCGATGTGTATACCACTTTTCTACATATTCCTGAATATTTTTTACATGAAAAAAACAAATAAAAAATGCACAGTTTGACGAGAAAAATTTGAGGTGATTTGAGGTTAGTAAAGCCCAGCCTTAATTATTTATGTAATTTATCGACGTCGAGTTGGAAAACATATGAACAGGGTTATAAACACTTTTTTTACTATAGCTATATGAACATAGTTTTTTTTAAGCAATTTAGAAATATTTAGAAGTAGTTGAAATAATCCACGGGGATTTCCGGCACTTCGCCGGCAAACTCTATCCCCACCTTTCGTACTCAAGCCTGCATTACACAATTTATAAACATAAACGTAATGTTGGAGATGATGTGTTAGCTCTGTGAGAAGAACACCAAGCTTTCATCTTACCAATTAGGGTTCAACATTGTTGGAATCATAATAGCTCAGTGGTTAGAGCACTAACCTTTCTTTTTGCTGGGCAGGGTTCGATCCCAGTCATAGCCAACTTTTTTTTCCTTTTTTTTTCAATCAAATTTTATATAAATACAATAATTGGTAGCTTATATAAGTTCAAAATCAATTCCTATTGTCTTTTAAAGACAACATTTTCGAAGAAAGAGAATTCATAGTAACTTGTTCTTCACCCTCAGCTTATTTTCAGAGAAACAAGTTGTTTTCCGTAATCAATTGGAAGAATAATGAAATAAAATATATGAATTAATTTATAAATATATAAGTCACTTAAGCAAAAAAAAGAAAAGAAAATTGCCTATGACTGGGATCGAACCCTGCCCAGCAAAAAGAAAGGTTAGTGCTCTAACCACTGAGCTATTATGGTTCCAATATGTTTACATATGCTTCAAAATTATAAGCTGCACGCTTGGGCACAGAGAGTGTGGGTAGAGCTTGCCGGGGAAGTGTCGGAACTCGCCGCGGATTGTTTAAACTATTTTTTATTGTTAATAAGTTGTTAAAAAAGGCTATTATCAATGTATTTGTACAAAAAAAGGTTAATGGCCCTGTTCAAATATTTTCTCATTTGTCATTGATTAATTGAAAAAAAATTTTACATAAAAATTGAAATTTAAAACTCATTTTTGGCATGATAAAATTGCAATTACATGCAATTTAAATAAAAAAAAATTTTGCCGCAATTGGAATCGAACACCGTTCGGTAAAATAACTGGCGAACCTTCTGACTATAGAGCTAGCATATTTTCATTTGCTTTGTTTACGTTTAGATATCGTAAGCTTCAGGCTTAGTAACAGAGGGTGGGGAATGTGCTTGCTCGTCAACTGTTCGAACTCGCAGTCTTCTCTGAAAAATAAGACGGAGATAGATAGATATATTCTGTGCTCTGTCTTGCTTAGAGATGTGAATTTACCGGTAATAGAAAATTCGGTAATTACCACGTAAAATTACCGGTATCTGACGGTATTCTGACGTCAAAAAATTCTGAATGTAAAATTTACCGTCGAGCCGTCGGTCAGCGTAATTACCGTAAATTACCGGTCATTCGCATCTATATAGATGAATATGATGAGCTTTTTACCGAGGAAATGGCTTGCTTTCGAACTTGCTTGCCAATTTGCTTAAGTTAATTTTGCTTTTTGCACTTGTTAATTTAAAACTAATTAATTATTATAAGATGAAAAAAAAATTTTGTTATTTTGTAATAAAAAAAATATTTTACATTTTCGACTGTTAGGACAGAAATAATAAATATATTGAAAATTATTATAAACGTTTATTTAGTTAAGTTTTTGGTACATTTTTTTTTATAAAATAGATAATCCTTCGTTATTACATATTATAAAGAATTTGACTTTTTTAACTTTTATGTAAATTATTTATGAAAAAATAAAACCATATAATCTATAGTTTCTATCAACTAGTAATATCACATAATAATTGACATATTTCATTAGGAAATAACAAGTCTAATACTGATTCAATTCCATCAACATCACTAATTAGTCTTGAGTAAATTCTTCTTCTAAAATTCAACTTATTCATGCTCAGTTGCAGCTGATGTTGCAGGTAAAGTCAATATAGCCACAGCTATTTTGCTCAACGAAGATTTTTGGCAAATACTTTGCCACCATTGACATGCTGAAGTGATTATACTTGCTCGCTTAACGTAGTCGTAACTCCACATACATGATTCTGACACATAATCTGTTAAATCTTTTAATACCTTATCACTATTTAGATTTAATTTATCACCAAGATTTATAATTAATTGATGAGCTTCAACCATTCTGACCTATTTAAATTTTTTCCTTTAATTGAGGATCAAGTAAGTTAGCTGCATAATGTATGGGCCGTAGAGCCATAGTTTTACGATTTTCTAAACAAGTATATATGCTCAGCTTTTCTTCTTCCGAAAAAATATTTCCAATATTATTAAATGCATTATTAAAATGATTATATAAATCATAAAAACATTCAGGTACTTTATTTAGGTTAGGTTAGGTTGCAGAGAAATGTTTATATATTGATTTGTTCTCCCCCATTGCACCAAGTTCTCAATGAAAATCCTTATCTACAAATTGAATTTTCTTATATTAATATTATCAGTATTTTTAATAAACAAATAAAAATGAAAATATATACCTGATAGAACAAATAAACATTTGTATGCCGTTGGGAATTCTAAACTGTGATTGGACATGTATTAACCAATCAGAGATCAGCATTTTTCTGACCGGTATGGTAAAACAGGCTTGGTCATTGACGCGTTTTTTACCGGTAATTTACGGTAAATTTACCCGTCAATTACCGATTCACATCTCTACTCTCTCCCTATTGTTGACAGGATAATCTCTCTAATGTTACCAATATTTCTCCCCACCTTAAATTTTAACGGACCAATAGAATGGTATCGTGGTGGCGCGTATTCAAAATCTATTCAATATGTAATATAATAGCTGGGACTACTTCTCTTTCTCAAATTTTTAATTCTGCGCATTCTACTGCGCAGCGGAGAGATGGGCACATTTCTAGAGTGACATATAAATTTCTAATCTACGCATTTTCCTGCGTAGAGGGGAGATGGGTCTCTTAAAAAATGGGCAAGTTAACATTAGAGAGAGATCCTGTACCGACTTGTCAACTTTAGAGAGATTGTACTGTATTACTTTACCTTCTGTTCCAGTAAATAGAATGATAGTTCAGGGGTAAATTCTTTGTCTACGAATCTTTCGGTGATTGGTTCAAATCTCGCCAGTTGCTTTTTTTCTTATTCATTAATTATATAAAATCTATTCCATTTTTTTTTGTACCAATACTAGTACCCTTTTTCTTCTCTGAGTAATGGATAAAAATCCCAAATTTTCAAAATTAATGAACATCGTTATTTGGTACATCATTTTTTACTCTCCTTTAATGTGATCGCGTATAAAATTTGTCCTCAAAAAATTCATTATTACAATTAATTAAATAAAAAAAAAAAAGACAACAACATTGATAGGCTTGACCATAAAACCTACGTTTTTGTCGTCGAGCGTGTTACCTCTAAGCTGTTACAAGAATATCACATTGATTTTTATAGCTTCTATGTATGTTGCGAACAGTGCTGGACCTTTTCTATTTAAAAATTTGTTCTTGAAAATAAACTGGCTTAGGATTCTTGTAATGAGAGTAAAAAAGAACACAAATCTTATCTCTTTTCTCTCTTAGATTAAGGGGCGTGGCTGAAATAAACCGTTGCAGCGCCATCGCTCGATGAGTTCATAGAAACTTTTATGTTGTGACCTGAGATTACCGACATGTTGACCGAAACGGGAGCGTGACATCCGTCCCCAATAAGATGTCAGTCAAAGGCATTTTTACAATCTTTTAAATTTAAATCTTTAAATGTATAATCTTACTGATTGTTAATCAAATTCTGTGATGCCCAGATTTTTTATCTAATGATCATTTTAAAAATAAGCTTTATTCTTTTAATCTTTTAAAATTGGTTTTTTTTTATTTCAATCATTTAATATTCAATCAAATTATAAAAATTTTTCTTTTTTAATGTTTATCATTTCGTTGAACAGTCAACTTAAGGCTGGGCTGAAGTCAGAAAGTTTCCCGGAGTTGACTTTACGCCCTCGCGTTGTGCGGCAAAAGGCTGAAGCTTGACATCAACTGAAATTGAGTAGGTAACAGGGAAATCGTTCGAAAAATGATAATTTTCAGGGATGCACTACAAAAAGGGAGCCTTAGGGCACCAAGAAATTTACAAATTTTTGAATAATCTGTTTCGAGCAAGACAGAGCACAGAATATATCTATCTATCTCCGTCTTATTTTTCAGAGAAGACTGCGAGTTCGAACAGTTGACGAGCAAGCACATCCCCCACCCTCTGTTACCAAGCCTGAAGCTTATGATATCTAAACGTAAACAAAGCAAATGAAAATATGTTGGCTCTGTAGTCAGAAGATTCGACATTTATTTTACCGAACGGTGTTCGATTCCAATTGCGGAAAATTTTTTTTTTTTAATTCAAATTGCATGTAATTGCAATTTTATCATGCCGAAAATGAGTTTTAAATTTCAATTTTTATGTAAAATTATTTTTCAATCAATCGATGACAAATGAGACAATATTTGAACAGGGTCATTAACCTTTTTTTGTACAAATACATTGATAATAGCCTTTTTTAACAACTTATTAACAATAAAAAATAGTTTAAACAATCCGCGGCAAGTTCCGACACTTCACCGGCAAGCTCTACCCCCTACTCTCTGTGCCCAAGCCTGCAGCTTATAATTTTCAAGCATCTTCACTATTATTGAAACCATAATAGCTCAGTGGTTAGAGCACCAATCTTTTATTTTGCTGGGCAGGGTTCGATCCCAGTCATAGGCAATTGTTTTTTCTTTTTTTTGCTTAAGTGACTTTAAATACTCATAAATTAATTCATATATTTGATTAAATTATTCTTCCAATTAATTACGGAAAACAACTTGTTTTTCTGAAAATACGCTGAGGGTGAGGAACGAGTTACTATGAATTCTCTTTTTTCGAAAGTGTTGTCTTTAAAAGACAATAGGAATTGATTTTGAACTTATATAAACAACCAATTATTGTATTTATATAAAATTTTAATGAAAAAAAAGGAAAAAAAAATTGGCTGACTGGGATCGAACCCTAATCGGTAAAATGAAAGCTTGGTGTTCTACTCACAGAGCTAACACATCATCTCTGACATTATGTTTATGTTTATAAATTGTATAATGCAGGCTTGAGTACGAAGGGTAGGGATAGAGTTTGCCGGCAAAGTGCCGGAAATCCCCGTGGATTATTTCAACTACTTCTAAATATTTCTAAATTGCTTAAAAAAAAGCTACGTTCATATAGCTATAGTAAAAAAAGTGTTTATAACCCTGTTCATATGTTTTCCGACTCGGCGTCGATAAATTACATAAATAATTGAGAAAAAAAAATCAAATCGTTGTAAACAATTACTTTGGCATGTTAATATTATAATTACATGCAAATCTAACAAATAAAAGAGAAAAAAAAAACTTTATCATGACTGGAATCGAACCCTGCCTAGCAAAATAAAAGACCGATGCTGTAACCACTGAGCTGTTATGGTTTCAATACGCTTAAAAATTATAAGCTGCAGGCTTGGGCACAGAGAGTGGGGGTAGAACTTGCCGGGAAAGTGCCGAAACTCGCCACAGATTGTTTAAACTACTTTTCAATGTTAATAATAATATGATTAACTTGTTAATAACATAACATTGTTAATACATGTAAAGATGTATAAGTTGTTAAACACAGGCTATTATCAATGTATTTATACAAAAAGAAAGTTTATGGCTCTGTTCAAATATTTTTCGACTTAGCGTCAATAAATTCAATGAATAAAGAGAAAAAAAAATCAAATTGTTATAAAAGATTAATTATAGCATGTCATATTATAATTACATGCTAATCTAACGAATAAAGTAGAAAAAAAAAAATTGGTTATGACTGGGATCGAACCCTGCCCGGCAAAATAGAACTCTGACGCCCTAACCACATGGCCAGCATAATCTCGATATCGAGTTAATGTATATTTGTTTTTACACTACATGCTTGGATACGCCGACTTGGAATTGAGCTTCCTTATTAACATTTATACCTAATAAAAATGATAATATGGATGAATATATGTATTTGAAGTTATTTGCAGGTATTATATTAATTAATGTTTAAATGAGTATCATCATTTTTTTTATCCTAACTGCAATAGTCATCAAAGTGTAGGGCATTGTAAAGTGATACAATATGTTTACATCACATACATATATTACCCGTACACACACATACAGAATTTACTCGCCAAAATGCAGGGCACCATCAGTTCTGGATACGGATTGAGCATTTTTTCAATATGGATGACTGAGGTCATCTGCGAGCATAATGCTGTCACCTATCAGAATTTTTTCAAACTAATTTTCCGGAGAATGTCATCTGGAATACAAGATTTCTAATTATTTCTAAATTATTCAATTTTATACTATGAATTGATTTTTTTAACATTCAGACAGGTGGCAAGGACTGACGCAAACACGAATTTTGGGCGAAAAACGTATAAAAATGAAATAATTAGTGATTTTTCATCTGAATGATGTGGCCGCCATCTTGAAATTTAAGCGCGGTAAGTCAATTCATAATTTTTTCATTATTCTTTCTAATTTTTTTAATAAAAATATTCACTATATACAAAAAAATGTTGTTTACGTCAGTCCGGCATTAATTCCTCTGTAATTTGGTACCTAATTTTATAGAAATAATTGTAAATTGGCGAAGAAATTAGAAATTTCCCGATCCCATGTATTTGGATAGGGGGAATCAGTCGCCTTTCTGACTTCAGCCCAGCCTTAAATAAACAATAAAAACGAGCATTTTTGGGAACCACCTAACAATATCATTAGTCGATAAATCGATCCTAAACAAATTGATACCATTTTGTAAGTAGATAGAGTTAGTAGAGTATTCTACAGTAGTAAACATTATCAAAATTTACTTAACCTAAAAATAAACTACTGTTAACGCAATTTCGAGTGACGTGTCTTCGGCTAACAATTTATTGCTTCTAATAAACACAGTTTTATGATGTATATGATTGTTTAAAAGTATTAAATATCAATTGTAATCAGTCAACACGAAGAAAATGTTAACAAATTTCGAAACAAAGTCAGCTCGAGTCAAAGGGCTTTCATTTCATCCCAAACGTCCGTGGATCTTAGCAAGGTATTTACTGTCTAATCTATCATAAATTTTTAATTAAATAATTATTAGATTATTATGTATATGGGATTATTAAATATTTACTTATTTCGGCATTTTCAAATTTGAGTATTTAGAATTAGATTGTAACAAACATAATTTGCGAATTATTATTACTTTTTTTTAAATGTTTTTCTGCACATATTAAATTTATCTTCTCTGTTATTTTTGGGTAATTTTATAAAACATGCCTTTTAAATAGCCATACTATAATTTTCATTGTTACTCGAAATGTAATAATCATTGCAATCAATATTAGAGTTTGTTGTTGTTCAGACATTTGTCGTAGTAACAATCCAATTATTGATAAATAATTCAATTTCTATTAGAGCAGATTGAAACTAATGATATTGATTATTTAAAATTTTCAAGTTTACACAATGGATTTATTCAATTATGGGATTATCGAATGTGTACCCTTTTGGATAAATTCGACGAACATGATGGTCCAGTCCGGGGAATCTGCTTCCACAATCAACAACCTCTTTTTGTTTCCGGAGGAGATGATTACAAAATTAAAGTATGGAATTACAAACAAAGGAGGTGTATATTCACCTTATTGGGTCATTTAGATTACATTAGAACAACAGTATTTCACCATGAGTATCCTTGGATTTTGAGTGCCTCAGATGATCAAACTATTAGGATTTGGAACTGGCAGAGTCGAGCTTGTATCTGCGTTTTAACTGGCCATAATCACTATGTCATGTGTGCACAATTCCATCCTTCTGAAGATATGATTTTGTCAGCATCTTTGGATCAAACTGTGCGAGTTTGGGATATTTCTGGATTGAGAAAGAAAAACGTATCTCCAGGTCCAGGTGGTCTTGAAGAGCATTTAAAAAATCCTGGAACGACAGATTTATTTGGGCAAGCTGATGCTGTTGTCAAACATGTACTTGAAGGGCATGATCGTGGAGTAAACTGGGCATCTTTTCATCCAAGTTTACCCTTGATAGTTTCAGGTGCTGATGATCGTCAAATAAAAATGTGGAGAATGAATGATATGAAAGCCTGGGAAGTGGATACATGTAGAGGTCATTACAATAATGTCTCTTGTGTCTTATTTCATCCACGACAAGATTTAATCTTATCTAATTCTGAGGATAAAAGTATTAGAGTTTGGGACATGGCTAAAAGAGGATGTCTTCAAACATTCCGAAGAGAACATGAAAGATTTTGGGTTCTTGCAGCTCATCCAACATTGAATTTATTTGCTGCTGGGCATGATGGAGGAATGATAATATTTAAATTAGAACGAGAACGACCAGCTTTTGCTGTTCATGGTAATTTACTTTATTATGTGAAGGATAGATTTTTACGAAAGTTGGATTTCACTACGTCAAAAGATGTTTCGGTAATGCAACTTAGAGGGGGAGGAAAAATTCCTGCTTACAGTATGTCATATAATCAAGCAGAGAATGCAGTTCTCATTTGTATGAGAGTTCCATCTAATATTGAAAACAGTACCTATGATTTGTACATGATTCCAAAGGATGGTGATTCAAATACAACACCAGAAACTAAAAGAGCTTCTGGTGTTACGGCTATTTGGGTAGCAAGAAATCGATTTGCTGTTTTGGATCGAGGATATTCAGTGAGTAATAGTCATTATTACTAAATTTTTAAATATGTTTAACATGACAATAATATTTACTTTTATTTTTTAGCTGGTTATCAAAAATTTGAAGAACGAAGTAACGAAAAAAGTCCAAATTCCAAATTGCGATGAAATTTTTTATGCAGGAACGGGAATGCTTCTCCTTAGAGACTCAGATCAAGTAATTCTTTTTGATGTTCAACAGAAACGTCAGTTAGCAGAAGTTAAAATTTCAAAATGCCGTTATGTTGTGTGGTCCAATGATATGTCCCATGTAGCATTATTATCAAAGCATACCGTCAACATTTGTAATCGAAAACTTGAATCTCTTTGTTCAATTTCTGAAAATACTCGAGTGAAATCTGGAGCATGGGACGATTCTGGAGTATTTATTTATACTACAAGTAATCATATCAAGTATGCCATTAACACAGGAGATCATGGAATTATTCGGACTCTTGATCTACCTATTTACGTGACGAGAGTTAAAGGAAATCAAGTTTATTGTCTGGATCGTGAATGCCGACCAAGAATTTTACGGATCGATCCAACAGAATATAAATTCAAACTTGCTTTAATTAACAGAAAATATGAAGAAGTTCTTCACATGGTTGTGAATGCTAATTTAGTTGGTCAATCCATTATTGCTTATCTTCAACAGAAAGGATATCCAGAAGTTGCATTACACTTCGTTAAAGACGAAGAAACTAGATTTAATTTAGCTCTAGAGTGTGCCAATATTGAAGTAGCTTTAGAGGCTGCAAGAATATTAGATAAAAAAACTTGTTGGGAAAGATTGGCTCACGCAGCTCTGTTGCAGGGAAATCACCAAGTGGTAGAAATGTGCTATCAGCGCACAAAAAATTTCGAAAAACTTGCATTCCTGTATTTAATTACAGGAAATTTAGATAAATTAAAAAAAATGACTAAAATAGCAGAAATAAGAAAAGATGTTTCTGGTCAATATCAAGGAAGCCTTCTTCTTGGCGATATTTATGAACGCGCCAAAATTTTAAAAGAAGCTGGACAAATTTCTTTGGCCGCAGTTACATTGAAAATTCACGGAATTGCAACCGAAGATGATGAAGAACAAGCCAATTCAGTTGAAGAAGAACTAAAAGATTTACAGCGTGATGCAGTCTATTTTAGACCACCGGTACCTGTACAAAAAGCCGAAAATAATTGGCCTTTATTAACGGTTTCTAAAGGATTTTTTGAAGGAGTAATGAACTCTAGAAGGCACAACCAAGTCACGGCGGCTTTAACTGCAGTCCAATCTGAAGATGAAACTGGAGCTGATGGTTGGGCTACTGATGACGTGCTTGGAATAGATGACGAAGAAGGTGTGGAAGGTGGAGAAGGTTTTGCAGATGCAGAAGACAGTGGTGCTGGATGGGATGTTGAAGACGTCGATCTTCCTCCAGAGTTAGATACACCAGGTTCGGGTGCTAAAGAGGGCTATTTTGTCGCTCCAACTAAAGGGCTATCAGTAACCCATTATTGGATCAACAATTCTCAGCTTCCGGCAGATCATATTGTAGCTGGATCGTTTGATACTGCATTTAGACTTTTACATGATCAAGTTGGAGTAACCAAGTTTGATGCTTATGAAACGCATTTTCTCAATATTTTTGCTAGATCTAGGACCAGTTTTGCATGCCTTCCAAGCATTCCTTCTCTTTATGCTTATCCACAACGGAATTGGAAAACTGCAACACTTAAAACTGGTCTTCCTGCTGTTGGATTACATTTAACGGAACTTGTGCAACGATTACAAGTGTGCTATCAACTGACAACAGGCGGAAAGTTTATGGAGGCAATAGAAAAACTTCAAGCAATTTTATTAAGTGTTCCTCTACTAATTGTAGATACGCGACAGGATATAGCAGGCGCTCAACAATTGATTCAGATTTGTCGAGAGTATATTTTGGGCTTGAAAATGGAAACAGAGAGAAAAAATGCACCTAAAAGTACTTTAGAAGAACAAAAGAGAGTTTGTGAAATGGCAGCATACTTTACTCACTGTAATCTCCAACCTGTCCATCAAATTTTAACTCTAAGGACAGCTGTCAATTTATTTTTCAAACTTAAAAATTATAAAACAACAGCATCTTTTGCAAGAAGATTATTAGAGTTAGGACCAAAACCCGAAGTTGCTCAACAAGTCAGAAAGATTCTTCAGGTTAGTAATTGATGATTTTTGGAAATATTAGAGATTTATTGAAAAACTTTTCAACAGGTGTTTCTTAACAATTATGTAATATATTGAAAAATGATTAATTTTTGTATTTTTTCTTTGTTAAGGCATGTGACAAGAATGCAGTCGATGAACATGAAATGAAGTACGATCAGTATAATCCCTTCTCTTTGTGTGCTGCAACTTACACTCCAATTTACAAAGGGAAGCCAGAAGTCAAGTGTCCTCTATGCGGAGCAAGTTATCATCCGCAGTTTAAGGATTTATTATGTAAAATTTGTGAAGTTTCCCAAATTGGAAAGGAGTGTACTGGTTTAAAAATTAGCGCGAAAGCGTAAAGAAAAATGGAAAAAAATTTTTTATGGCTCAATTTTTATAATAATAAAAACGAAATAGCTGTAAATTAGAATTAAACAGAATTTGTAAATAATAATTGTATACGTAAAGATCAAGAATATTTTATTAAAGAATTAAATTGTCTTTAATCAATTAATTTTTATAGTTTTCTTGAACTGTCTTCCGTAAATCACTGAAAAACTAAAATCAGAGATGACTTCCTAATAAATAAAATCATTACATATTAATAGTATAGTTTATAGCAACAATTTTATAAAAAAATTATTATTCAAATTTATTTAAATTTATTTATTGTCATATTTTCTTAGATGCTTTACGAATTTGACTTTACCATTAGTCAATTTTGGTACCAATATCAGAGAGAAGTCTTTTCTATGTTGGCTACGTGGAGTGCTAGCATCGACTTGAGATATTCGTGTGTAGGTTTTCATATACATGTAGCGATGGGATATGGAATTGAATCTACCAAAACGAATGAACATTTTTGGTTGTCAAATAGTGCATGTTAAGTTTTCAATATAATTAGTCCTCAACTTAGGATTAATTAATATGTCGGACGGTGAAGATGATTTCATGTGCGAAGAAGAAGAAGATTATGGTTTAGTGAGTACTATTATCATTAGATAGTTGTTTTTTTACTGTAATTATTTACATTAACTTCAAATGAGGTTATGTTCATGAGTTGATGTATACAGTATTTGTAGAATTTAAAATAGGATAGCAATAAACAATATTTATTAACAACAATATTCATACCTAATCAAGTATTAAAAATTTTATAATTATTATTATTATTTTATTTGAAATCTAAATACTAACTAATCTAATTAATTTATTCATACATTACGAAGAAATAATTATATCGTTCATATTATAATTAAAATATTTTATTTTTAGGAATATTCAGAAGACTCAAACTCAGAGCCTGATGTAGATTTAGAAAATCAATATTATAATAGCAAAGCGTTAAAAGAAGATGATCCGAAAGCTGCTTTACAGAGCTTCCAAAAAGTTTTGGATTTGGAAGCCGGAGATAAAGGAGAATGGGGTTTCAAGGCTCTTAAACAAATGATAAAAATTAATTTTAAATTGGTAATACTATTTAAATCACTGATAACAATTAAATTAAAAAAAATTTTTTACTTGCTAATTTATGATGATTTTTATAGAATAATTATAAAGAGATGATGGCAAGATATAAACAGTTATTAACATACATCAAAAGTGCAGTTACACGAAATCATTCAGAAAAATCCATTAATTCTATCTTAGACTATATTAGTACATCAAAAAATGTAAGACATAGTATAATATTATTTAATGAACTTTCTGAAATAATCTTAACAGTTATATTCATGTCAAAAAATATTTTTTAGATGGAATTATTACAAGATTTTTATGAAACTACTCTAGATGCTTTAAAAGATGCAAAAAATGATCGATTATGGTTTAAAACTAATACCAAACTGGGGAAATTATATTTTGATAGATCAGATTTCAATAAACTAGCTAAAATATTGAAACAACTTCATCAAAGTTGTCAAACTGACGATGGAGAAGATGATTTGAAAAAAGGAACCCAGCTTTTAGAAATATATGCTTTGGAAATCCAGATGTACACTGCCCAGAAAAATAATAAAAAGCTAAAGACACTATATGAACAAAGTTTGCACATTAAGAGTGCAATACCTCATCCTCTTATAATGGGAGTAATTAGAGGTAATTGATTAATTAAAAATATATTTAATAATGGAGTGATTTTTTTGTAAAAAAGAAAAATAATCAAATTGTATTTTAATTTAATTTAGAGTGTGGAGGTAAAATGCATTTAAGAGAAGGAGAATTTGAAAAAGCGCATACAGATTTTTTTGAAGCTTTTAAAAATTACGATGAATCTGGCTCACCAAGACGAACTACATGCTTGAAATATTTAGTTTTAGCTAATATGTAAGTAAAAACCATTAAAATAATCTTTATTTTAATAATGGTTAGTAAATTGGTTTTTAAGGTTAATGAAATCAGGCATTAATCCATTCGATTCTCAAGAAGCTAAACCGTATAAAAATGATCCTGAAATATTAGCTATGACGAATCTTGTGGTGAGCTACCAGAACAATGACATTAATCAGTTTGAGTTAATCTTGAAACAAAATAGAAATAATATTATGGATGATCCTTTTATTCGAGAACATATTGAAGATTTACTTCGTAACATACGAACTCAAGTGAGAATTTTTTTTTACAAAAAATTAGACTTATTGCTAAATTCATCTATGAGACTACATAATTAATATAAACTATTTTATAGGTGCTCATTAAATTGATAAAACCATATACAAGAATTCATATCCCTTTTATCAGCAAAGAATTGAATATTGATGCGGCTGAAGTTGAAAGTTTACTCGTTTCTTGTATTTTAGATAGCAGTATCCGAGGCCGAATTGATCAGGTAAAATAGTTCATTAGAAAATTTATGATTTTTATGGAATAAGTTGTAAATTAATTTTTCTATGCAGGTAAATCAAGTTCTCGAATTAGATAAAACATCTCTTTGTGCCGCTCGTTATAATGCTTTAGACAAATGGACGAGTCAATTGCATTCATTGCATTTAGCAGTAGTTAACAAAATGTCATAAATAACATCAGTTAACTTGAATACAAACCTTATTATTATAATTACTGTGAATAGTATGGAAACTCGATTATCTCTTAAGGACTAATGTGAAACAAAAAAAAAATAAAAACGAGTGTGATATTTTATACGTAAAAGGCCTCAACCTGTACATTACCCATGTTTTGTTTAAAACAAAGTTAAAAAACTACTTTACAACATTCATTCTTATACGAATTATTCGCAGTTTTTTTAAATTATAGAAATCTGAAACATTTTAATAAGCTTATCAATAAATTATTGCATGTAATTTTGATCTGTATTGTATACCTAAAAATTATTTCTCCCTAATATTTCATCGTTTTTGACTTAAGCAATTCATGAGAATATTTATCCGATTACTATACATTAAATAATAATATTTCAATATTTTCATGAAAAAGTTTCAATTTTTTACGATTACGTTTATAGTTATAACGCATCAAAGTATATTTTGCAATTTTCTCCCGTGAAAAATAAAAAAGAGACCCTTTTACGAATAATCAGATTGCTCAGCACTCGCGTTGTCATCTTAAGATAAAAAAACATCCACTCGTACTTGGAATTTGTCTGTGTATGTACGACTGTCAGCAACACTAGAGTTTATATCCAGCTTACTTTCATTTGCAAATGGAGAACAATTGTTCTAAGCGTTTGTCTCGAGTTGAACTCACACTCCACTCATTCATGGTCTCCAACACTGAAATGGGCTATCAGCCTAATTGCAATATACGAAGCAATAGACATTTCCACCTTAAGGGTGTGATACAGCTCTGACTTTCTATTTGTGGCAATCCTCTTGCTTTGTCTACGAGGAAATACTAAATGAAAGTTTGCAAGGAAGAGATGACATCCAAATTTTATCTCAAAATAAAGATACTTTAGCTGAATAAATAATACTGAGTTGGTAATTTAATAATATTTTATTATAATTTTATTTATATTAGCTTTTTTCAAGAACTTTATTTTACTTTTTCAACTTAATAATAATTACATTCTAATAAAATCTTTTATTCGTAATAAATCGATAGATAACTGTCAAAAAATATAAAAATGTATATTTTTCACTAAATATTTGAACAATTTCTCATGTATTGTTTTGTCTTTTCATCACTTTATCCCTACAAATGTACTTATGTCTATATTCATAAGATCCATTCATATTTTGAGGCAAGAGCGCACTGTCACTTTTTAAAAGTGATATCATACATCATAAGCGAGAGGAAAATGTTGGAGTAACGTCAGTTAGACCATCTATCTTACAAACTTTAACACTGGACATGCAGGATGATATATCAGAGTATAGTAATGTGACTTATCTTTCATTCAATTGACTTTTAACTCTTGTTATATTGCAAAATCAGAATTTAAATTTAATTACAGTCAAAGATGAATGATCATTGAAAAATGGTTAATTAAATTGAATAATTTAAGTAGCAATTCGATTTCATTTCTAATCTTGCAGCAATCCTGCAATGATTTACCATGTGATTTGGTAATAAACCATTAGTTTACATTTTACATTGAATTGAGTATACGGAATTACATCCAGATGAGTAAAATCTATGAGATTTTAGTATGTATCTTAGCTAAGAGACTACTAAGAGAGTGGTGTATCTTCCTCTACCATCTCCTTTTCTCTCTAGTTTAGGATCCATTTCCACTATGCCTACAGTAGCAATCCAGATATCAAACATCTGGCTGGGTCGATTGAAATCCTGGAACTGGTGCGTCCAGGGATAGACGGTTATTTACTCGGAAGCTGATGCTGCCGCTGTAATTGAGTCTTATACCCCACTGATTCGACATATCACATTCTCTCTCTTTCTCTTGCTGCTGCTGTTATTGTTCATTTCACATCTCTCTCATTTATACATTGGAAATTTCTGATTAATTTTGATGGCAATTATTATTTTATATCGACTTAACAAAGTGCATTTCAATTGATTTAATAAAAGGTAGATTACAAAATGATTGAGATAAATTACTCATCAGCTGATACGCACCGTTGCATCCCAATTTAGTATCTCCTGATGCTCTGTGAGTACGCGTTGATGTTAATCACTCATGGATTATAACGTTAAAGCGACGTGCGGATGTATATATTGACGCAGAAATTCTATCCACAACTAACTCAATGGCAAATAACAGTTGAGCTGTTTCATAAATCCACCACTATATACTCAAACCATTTGGACAAAGGACAAAAATGTTATTGTCAATTTATGCATTGTATTTTACATATTCTCATATCGCTATGGTCGTTGTATTTTCTTTAAAATTGAAGCTTCCATCGATGATCGGTACCTCAATATAAATTCTGAATATTAAAATAGTTATTTTATCTTTCAAGTCTTTGGATATGATGCTCTGTAAATAAAAACCTGATAAATAAAGTAAGAAATAGTGTTATTACAATCTTCAAACATTTCTTTCCTTGACGACATATACTTTATCAACAGGGATAATACACAACTGTCAAGACAACTGCTCGCTTGGAATATTTGTGTGAGAACCGAACCAAGGTTGAGGATTACAAACCTTCTTGATAGAGAAATAGATGTTGGCAATATAACAATCAGTCCACAATAAAAAAAATACTCCAATCTCAATATAAATTGGCAAGTTTAATATATAATATATTGTTTTCTTTTTTTTACTTTAATCAAAATGATTGATTGCATTATCCAGTGAAGACAATATGTTCATTTTTTGAAGTTTTATTCAGTAAATAGTAATATTTAAAGCAGAGATATAATCATTTGATATATCAAGTCTGGAGATACAAGTCGTGAGAAGTGTACATGTTTGGCATACGTTGAGTTGTTGTACTTTCCTTTTTCTGGGTCTACTTTACTACTGAGTCATGCGCGCGTGAACGCCAACTCTGGAGCTATTTAATATTGCATCACATTACTCGGATAGAAGGTTGCACACTAGATGCACACTTGCACGGTGGATGCGCACCTGAAATCATGCACCCAGCGGCCAATTTCATCCAGGTCTACTCGCGTTTCCTCTTTACTTTACTCATAAATTCTTTGTACACACTTTCATTCGTGAGTTTTCCATTTTGATATTTTCCATTGCTTTCAAGCGACATGATAGCTCGTTAGATTTTTCAGTTATTCAATTATCAGAGTTTATCATATCATATTATATTGAAAAAAAATATCAAACATAAGAATTTGATTGAATAATTGATGTGATAGTAATGAAAAGTAAATGAGCATTTGAAACTAGAGAGGGATTCAATGATTTAATAATGAACCACAATTTGTTTTATTCAAAACTAAGATCAATGATTATTTGAAGAAAAGAGTCTGACTTGAAATTAAGTTGGAAGCTGTACAATTTTATGGGAGAAAATATATGACGTGTAAGTAGGAAGGCAGTGGCAGTAGCATGCCTACTGTAGGAGAGAAGCACAGGAAGAAAGTAGTTAGGTATGTAAGAGCAACAGAGATAAGAATAAGAGGCCTCGACTGCAAGACTTTGGAGTTATACTTATTGAATATTAAACGGGGTACAGCACACCCTCGGGTACAAATGAAGTAGAGGGGTGTCGTGCTACAGCGGTTAGAGTACCTCTTTGGTCTTTCTAACGGGTGCCAACAGAGGCAGAAGTATAATTCTTGAATGACAAAGGAAAGTCTACAAGGGTGATAACCAGTTCAAGGTATTTCCTTCACCAAGGGTTACTACTTCTAGATTTCATTCCTTTAATATTCGTGACTCTGTTATTCGCCATATCATCAACACTCTGATTCAATTTCCTCTACAACTTTTATCTCTAATTTCATTCTACATCACTCGAGATCTTTTTTATTTTTCTCCTGATGATTAAATTCTTTAACTACTGATGTCAATCACGGTGTGAGAACGAGGGTGTGTAGTTAAGTGTAAGGGCGAAGAGAACATGGTACTAGCGGACGGGATATTGGTTAAATCACACGAGGTCTCACATGCTAGTAGTAAATGGGACGATAGCGATTGCCGATAAGCTTGTAGTAGAGGTAGGGCGTGCGTTTGCTTCTGGTAGTGAGGTCTGTGAGGCTTTCCATTCACAATGTGTGAACGGTAGTCGGGGGGTCGGAGGTGCATCTACGTGCTTCTCGATGAGGTCAGACGAACGCCAATGCGGTAAAAGCACATGAGCACACGAGGGATGGAACCAATGGGTTTAGATCTTGTGTATTATAGCTGAGTTGCCAATGCTTTCAAGCTATGAATTATCAATTAATCATGATGGTGTTGGCACCTAAAGTGACATAATAAACATATTCGGCACTCGCTTATGTGTGTTTATCGAACACTGACTGGTAAAGCTTTATTTTGTGATGGCCATTAGGGGATGAAAAAATGACACAGAAAGTTCTTGAGAAAAATAAATCTTTTAATATTTTTCGTGATCTCCAAAAGACTCAATTGGTTCATTAAAAATATTAATGGTATATTAAATTAAATAAATTGCTAAAGATTGTTGGGAATGTTGGAAAGGTTTGTTTGATCGACGTAAAACCACAGAGGAACTAGTTGCAACGTAGCTTCAATTAATCAGTGACGGCCGACCACGCGTTTACTTTTTCCACTTGCTGGGCAAACTCGTGGTGATGGTAACCGCTTTGAAAATCGATACCTCAGCGATATAAGGAAGAGAACTAGAACCTCAACGAAGAGAAATAGAGAGTAAAGTATCCCGAGACCACTCTAGAGAAATTGGAAACCCTAAACGTCCATTTGAAATGATTCTTGGTGATCAAGTGATAGTTAAATTCCGATATATTCTCATCGTTTTTCTATAGGTATATGTTGCCGTTTCTATATACACTGGAACTTGCAAAAAAATTCTGTCGATTAATCTTGAGTAGAAAACTGTATATAATATATTTAATATCGTTGGAAAATAAAAAATACTCGTGATTCGGGGGAGAAAAAAAGCGTAACCTATCGAAAGTACTCTGAAATTGAATCCAATAATTTAAAATTCTACGAAAATGAATAGAAAAAAATAATACGTATAAATAGTTGCTTGAATTTGATTGTTAATAAATGGAATGATGATTTATTTCCAAAACAGATAATGATTAATTTATTTATTGTATAATTAATATTAATA